CGTGTGTGTGCGTGTGAGCGTGTGTGTGTGTGCGTGTGTGTGTGTGAGAGAGAGAGAGAGGGTACTTCCATCGATAGGATGAGCAACATCGAATGAATCTACCACTAGAAGATCGAAATATACACTACTACACGCGCGTCTCTCTCTCTCTCTCTCTCTCTCTCTCTCTCTCTCTCTCTCTCTCTCTCTCTCTCTCTCTCGCACGCGCGCGCGCGCGCGCGCGCGCGCGCGCGAGAGAGAGAGAGAGAGAGAGAGAGGGTACTTCCATCGATAGGTTGAGCAACGCACCGGCCAACAGGTAAGTCTCCAACCCCGCGGCTGGCCTCACGCTTCTTCAATCGATAGGATGAGCAAAATCGAACGAATCTACCGCTAGAACATGGAAATGTACACTACCACACGTGTGTGTGTGTGTGTGTGTGTGTGTGTGTGTGTGTTAAAATATCACCATAACTTCCCCTATTCCGCCCAGATGAGTAGATCCAAAGTCACAACTTTTCCTGCATTGCAGACAATGAAGCATTCTCAAGATGAGCCAATCCACCAATGAAACAGTTATGCTTGTGAAGTCAATATCTATTCAGAACCTTACCTTTAAACAAGCAAGTCTCACCTTTACACAAGCAATGCAACACACTTGAGATGGGCCAACTCAGCAGTAAAAACAATACAAGACACAATAAATTCGTTATGATGTTTTCTTGATTATATTTTCAACAGCTAGCATTGGGAGACCTCCCATTTTCTTTGTTTTTGTAGTTACCTTCTTACTATGCCTATCACCTACAAGGCTGGCCACGTTGATGATGGTTGAGCGCCGGCTGCCCACATCCCCGTGTGCCTTTACGGCCCACTTGCACGTTATAAAAACAGGCAGAGTAAAAGGGTAATTATATTTTGTTTGTTCTCGCAATGACGCTCATTCATATGCATTTATTGGTAGTACACAAGGAGAGGGAGTAGACAACAGGGAGGAGGACACAATATATATATGATGAGTCGGTGAAACTCCGACGAAACAGTTTGTCACATCCCCTCATTTGTTGTCCTCTTCTCCCTCTCTGCCTACGGTTTACCGGGCAGTTCTGTTTGACGATATATATATATATATATATATATATATATACACCT